TAAAGTCCCTGAAACATACAAACGGATCTCATAGTCACTGCATCTGCAGGGGGGTTGTTGTGATGATCAAACAGAGACAAGGAGAGCCAGGAGCTAATTAAAATGCTGCAAGTGTCAAACAGAAATAAAGCCAAAAGCAAGGATTGCATGCAGTGGCTTGGGATTTACCCACCCGCCGTGACCGGCACAGGTCTGCTGGCCTCCACATTTCTTGCTAGGCTTGGTGATTTTTCGCCTTCCTGTTTCAACAAGTGGTTGTTATTCCCAAGGTGGCATGTGGGCAGCTGAATTAATACACACACACACAAATCTATTGCAAAAAAGCACAAAATTGAAAGTGCTGGACAATCATCCTGTGAAGACACGGCTTAAATTTCGTTTTAGGAAAGTAACAATGATATTCCCGTACCCGATTAAAGTGGTTGCTGGTCATGGGTTCACCTCGGGGGCTGCTTCTTCCCGGAGGATCCCCCAGGAGCATGGCGGCGTGCTCGATTTTGGAACCATCAGCACCAAAGGCAGAGTGGGAAGGCAGACAAGGTCCATGAATAAAACAGAAGCCTTGTCTCGTGGTGGCTGAAATTCAAAACCGTGTCCACCGCCACCGACAGACAGCAGGCCAGTTCCAGTTTCATTCAGCACCACATCAAGAAGAAACATCCTCCCTCTTAAGAGGAAGCAGAATGTTTTCTTAGTCAGATTTGGCTCCAGACTGGAACTCACTGCCATGGTAAAACTGCACCAACAGGTGCAAACTTTAGAATGACACAAGAGTCTTTGTCTGGGCATCACCTGTCAGCTCCTGAAGGAAAGCAGACATTGTTGCAGAGTTTTGAATTTCTGGTTAAATTCTTTTTGTTACGCAGCAGAAGTAGAGAGACTCATAGAGGAGACTAGCTTCAAGTTCCTCAGATCATTCACCCCTTTCTCCTGAACTGGCCCTTACAGTCTCAATCATTCACTCCAAGACATTTCTAGAAGAATACAAACTTTTCAGTACTTACGGTTGCAAACAGATCAACAGCAAACAGATGACATAACAAACCAAAGAGAGGCAAAGAAAAACCCCAGCGGAGAGGCGGGGCCCTTTGAAATTTAGAGGCAGGAGGAAATGATTGGTTTGTGTGGGATAGACTGACAGTGAAGCCAGCCCTGAAAAGTTCCCCCCAGTCAAACAAACTATAGACAGCATGCGAAGTTGTAAAAAGTATTGGCCCAATGATGGAAGTCTCAGTATTCACCCACTATCCCCCGCATTGTAGACATCTAGGGTTAAGGAAGAGTTCTGTATAATTCCTTAAGCCACCTATTGTAGTGGAAACCAGTCTCAAAGCTAATTCTCTTGTGCTCTTCCTCCACCCTTCTACCTCCCAGGAGGAGAGACCAGCCAAGACCTTCTAGACTGTGTGGATGATGGGATACCATGCCCTAATGGAACAGTCAGAAACAACAAGATATACGCCACCAAGTGCAAGTTTTTTGAATTCACTAAAAAATTTATGAAGTTTCCTTGCTTTGCAAGAAGAATGGTGTGGAGGTCATAAGGCGGGGAGGGAAGAGGGAGGAAAGTCCCAAACTAACCAACTCTGATTTTTCTTGGCTTACCAGTACACAGTGAATATTTCAATAGCTCTCTCTCTGTCTCTCTCTGTGTGTGTGTGTGTGTGTGTTTTGCAGCAGTTCTTCCTTCTTTTCTTCCTCACTCAGGCTTTGGCTTCACTTTCTTTTTCAGTTCCAACCCCCCCGGCTGAAGTTTCACTTTCTCCTTTTACAATTCTCAGTGCATGGAGTGAACACTCAGGATCACGAGGAAATGACAGGATCTTCCTGTTGTCCTTACGAACAACCACCATCATTCCTTCAATGAGTGGCTCTGTGAATGAGTGGACAGCCCTCCTTGCTCAGCTCCTGCAAACTCAAAGCAGGGGTTCCTTCAGAGGATCCAGCCCTCTCGCGTAGCATCTTCCTCTCTTCCTGCTGCTTCTGGCTTTTCTGATCCGAAGAAGGAACCTGTTTTTAAGATTTTCCTGGTAGAAAAACGCGGTGCTTAGCCAAAGTGCAAAATCATGGGGTGGGCTCAGATTTCCTGGGAGGAAAGTCTTCAGCAACAAGAAACTCACCGATGGGCACCAACAGGGCCGGCAAACATTTATCTAGGAGTCGCTGGGCAAAAGCCTGCTTCCAAGCAAATCTCTGGATCAGGGAAAGTCAGGGAAAGAGGACCTCGGGTTTGGTGAACTGAACCCAACTTTCAAGGTGATTCAAGCCAGTCGCTCTCCTACAGTCGTTTTCTCATCATCATCATCATCATCTTGAGCTGGAGAGCTGGGAGGGACCCTGTGGATCATTGCATTTAATGTGGATGCTCCCTTGGTACTAAGGGGGGGGGAAGCCAAATGAATGGAGAGCGTCTGAAACAGACCAATACTGTATGTCAGTGTATAGAAACTAGGCAAGAAATACCTAACCTGTAAGGAAGTCAACCCTGGATTGGAATTTGTGCCATCTAAGGGACCAGCACTAAAGAAGGGCTTGTTACACCCAGAGCTCAGTGTCTCCGCTAATTCTATGAAGCTAAGGCCCAAGCAATAAAAATAATAAGCGAACAGTTTCTTGGAGATAAGATAAGTGTACCCTCGGGTGCCCAGCAGGGTGGGGGACCCCGAGATCAACAGGGTTAAAAATTTTATACGTTTCTAAAAAGCAAACCAAAGTATGCAGCAGTTTATTGGTCTTTGAGAACTTATGTGCATGGGTTTAAATTCGTCGCGTCTCAGCAAAGAAGTTAGTTTCTCATGTACAGAGCAGCTGATCTCTCAAGAATGTTGAATCTTTCTTACTAATTGCCACTTTTTCTTCTTTGGCATTTGCTCCCTTCTTACATGCTTCTTAATTTCAAGCCTGTTTAAACACCCCGCTTGCTTAATTGCAGAAACCTGACCCACCGTGTGTGCATGGCCGAGGTTTCCCATCTGCTAAATTGAGTGTGCTTTTGCTACGGATCTGCAAAAACAGGATTCAGAAAGAATAAAGGGAATCAGGTCCTGTTCAGGTGGGAGCCGAAATAAGACTCCAGGAATTCTCAAGAATAGGAAGGTATGTGGAGCCTTTTCCAGTTTTTACTATTTCTTTTCATAGCCAACCTTCATCAAACCCATCACTCAGTAAATAAACCAGAGCATGAAATACTCAATGACAAGCACAGTAGGTCAGGAGAAAGCAGCTTTCTCTGGGAAAGGCGATAACCCCGGGGAAAGAGGAAGTAAGTAGGAAAAGAAGAAGGCTGGACATGAGATGGGCCGACTCTGTGAAGGAAACCACAGTCTTGAATTTGTAAGACCTGAGCCAGGCTGTTAATGAGAAGCTTCCAGAGGCTCCTGATTCGTAGGATCACCATTAAATCTGAAGCCACTTGATAGCCTGCTAGTAAGAACAACAGCATTCGGACCTCCAAAATACAACCGTACCCATCGGCAACAGCGATGACCAAATTACCAGACAGGATTGGTACAAAATATCTAGGGTTGTTCCACCTTCTTCAATGATCTTATAGTTATTTTTAATGCAATTGATTGTAGATCTAGGGGGGAGGGAGGGAGACTTTTCCTTTCAGTACTTGTTGAGCCCAGACGGGGAAAGGGCTGCCAGTGGGGAAGTTGTTGGATTTGTCACAACTTTATTGGCAGTTGTGCAGGTGAGGAGGCCTGACTGCCATCTTCCTCAGTGCCCTGTAGATGCTTGGGACACCAAGTCCCATCATCCATCATCATTTGCCAAACTGGGTGTGGATGGTGGGAGTAGTTGCTCCTGCCCAAAAATATTTATGGAAGGTCCTCAAATAACATTGAAGGTCTATTTTTTTTCTGCACGGCGTTGGGTAGAACATCCAGCCCTTCCAGATGTGGTCAGGTTCCAGGCTCCACCTTCCCCTCTAGCCAAGGTCCAGAATAGCAGGCTAGGACTCAGAAGACCTGGGTTTGAATCCCGCTCTTGGCTATGGAGAAACTCCAAGCGGAATTGGAAATGACTACACCACCACCTGGCAAAATCGATCACATGTTCTGTATGCCATATTAGGGTTGCCCTGAGTGGGAAGAGACTTGCCAGCCCATGACGATGGGCCAGAAGTGTGCAGAATGGCGGGTTTGGACTACAACTCCCAGGGTTCCCCAGGCAGCCGGTTGTGCTACTCAGGAGATTCTGGGACCTGTACTCGAAAAACACACCTCCACAGTTCAAAAGGGTTGGATGATATGTGTGTGTGCGTGCGTGCGCGTGCATGCATCTGTAGTCACTGAGCTACCTCGCCAGTTATGCTTTAAACATACTTGTGTGCATGGGTAACAACTCAACAATTGGCAAATTCGCTAATTTTGATGACAGCTCCCAGAATTCCTCAGAAAGCATGGCCATGGGGGGGGATTTGGGGGACTGTCTTCCCAAAAGTAACGTTTCTACGTTCCCCACGAACTACTTCCATGCCCTCCACGGGGCTCGAAGAACCTCCAAGGGCGACTAGACCCCAAGCCCCTTGTTGCCTACGCGTCGCCGTGGCAGCGCCTCCCCCTCCCGGCAGCCCCCCCCACTTCTCTTTCCTGCACCGTCTCTTCCCCTCCGCTACGCCTCTCTAGCTCCTCCCTTCTCTATGGTACTCTTCCATCTCCCTCCCTCCCTCCTTTCGCAGTCTCTTCCGTCCAATCCTTAACGGGCGAGGAGGAGGAGATCGCTGAGCCAATTAGCGGGTGGGGTGAAGTTAGAGGGACGGAAAGCGGAGATAGCCCAAAATAACGAAGCGAGCGCGCGAGGAAGGGAAGATAGCGGTCGGGTGGATGGGCCAATGGCGTCTCTGGCACGCTCCTCTTCCTCCTCCCTCCGGCCGGCGAGTCGAGGGCGCATGCGCGGAATGCGCCGAGAGGGGAGGGGAGGACAGTGAGCTAGAGGAGGGGGAGGAAAACAAAATGGCGGCGGCGTGTTAGCGGCGGCGGCGGCGGCAGCAGGAGGAAGGCAAGGCGACTGAAGGTTGCGGGGGGGGGGAAGGGGGGCGGGGGGGAGCTGCTGCCGTCCGCCCCCCTCAGGTCTCGACGTCCCCTTCGGAGGTCCTGGCCGGAGAGCAGGTTTCCTTCGGGGGGGGGAAATCATAGACACCGACGCCCCCCCTCGGTTTCCCTCAGGGAAGGTGGGGGGAGGGAGATGTGCTTTTGGGGACTGAGAGGGGGCTTTCCTGCCCTTCTCTGCCCTTGGAGCGGGGGGGGGACACACCGGGAGGGGGCCCGCCTAGGGAGAGTGATTTCTCTCTCTCTCTCACCTATAGAGCCTAGATGGGGCCCTTGCATAGGTATTTAGAGATGTGTGTCTGGGGGGGGGGGTTCTATATAGGTCTATACGGGGGTGAGACCCTGATGTTGGGAAAATGTGAGGGCAAGAGGAGAAGGGGACGACAGAGGAGGAGATGGTTGGACATTCAAGCGACCAACATGAATTGGACCCAAATCCAGGAGGCGGTGGAAGACAGGAGGACCTGGCGTGCTCTGGTCCATGGGGTCACGAAGAGTCAGACCCAACTTAACGACTAAACAACAACAACGGGGTTGGGGGCTCTACATCTATTAGGGGTATGAATGTACAGTCACAGACACATATAGGGGTACAGCCCTTCTCCCCCTCATGCACACACACCCCTTCCCTTTGCTTTACTTCTCAAGGGAAGGTGTGAGATGGGGAGGTTCCTGGAGAGCAGGAGGAAGAAAGGTGGTAAAGGGCTAGGTGTGTTTTCCAGAGGGGGGGGTTCCATTAAAAGGGCCAGAAAAAAGAGAGTTTCTCTTTCTTTGACACATACCACAGAAGGGGTGCAAATCCTGAATTGGGCCCAAAAGTCACTTGTGTTTCAGTGGAGGGGGTGTGAGACACATCCCCATATGTTAATTCACTCCTTTGTTACTTGAGAGGGGGTTTAGCTCTGTGTCCTGTTCATTGACTCCCTTTTAATTTTGTCAAGCTGGTTAATTAGCCCCCTTGATTCAACCCTTTAAAAAAAATATTCGGTTGAGTAATTGGTGACTCTCCTTATTTTTAAAGGGGCTCCTTTTCAAAACAATTTCAAAATTGTGTATGTGGAGAATTGTGGAAAGAGTCAATTAACCTCTGTTCTTTTAATCTTTTTTTTTCCAGGAGAAGTTACCAGTTAGTGACACTAATTGAACCAGGGAGATTTGGCTTGGCTCACTTTTAAAAGGTACATTGTATATTGTGGAACTTATGAAGTCCTTTCCTTAAAGTTTTTTTTTGTGGTTTGGGGTTGGTAGAACTACTGGTAATTTCCCTTCTGGGTGAAAAAACCTCTGCAAGTTTTGAAAGATGGACCTTGTTGTAAGCAGAAGAGATTCCCTTCCCTTCTCTGTCTCTGTTTCTAAAGGGGAAAAGATAACCTTTGTATTCGCGAAGTCTTTCACGACCGGGATCTAATGGTTGTTGTGGGTTTTTCGGGCTCTTTGGCCGTGTTCTGAAGGTTGTTCTTCCTAACCTTTCACCAGTCTCTGTGGCCGGCATCTTCAGAGTGCCCGAAAAACCCACAACCATAACAACCTTTCATTAGCAGGAAAAATTGCTCTGCTACCCCACCCACCCATTCAACTTTAATTGCCCCTCTTGTTGGTGTTGGAAGAAAAAGTGTGTATAGTATATTTGAGGCATGTGTATCTGTCATTTGATCTCCTTTGCTCTTTCATGAGCTAGAGAAGCTTCTGAGGAGGGGGGAAGAAACCTTATTTCCTGTTCTTTTTTTTTAATGGTCACTTTTTGTTCCTTCCTATTAGTGTCAGAGTTTTCTTTTCCTTGGCTGTTGCACAGAATGGTCATTTTGGCATTTTGCTGCAGAGCCAGAGACTGGGAATTAAATTCTCCACTGAGTCTTCTTGACAAGGGCTGTACTTCATGGTCCTCAAGGGGAGTGGTCTTCAACCTTGGGCCTCCAGATGTTCTTGGACTTCCAGAAATCCTGGCCAGCAGAGGTGGTGGTGAAGGCTTCTGGGAGTTGTAGTCCAAGAACATCTGGAGGCTCAAGGTTGGGGACCACTGCTTAAGGGGTTCCTTTGAGCTGTTTTATTCTGAATAAAATCTCTCCATCTCGTATTGCAAAAGAAGCCGTAGCTCTTTCACGGAACCATTTAGGCGGGGTCTCTGGCCAGACTGAGATGCATGTAGGAGCCTCGTGGTGCAGTGGTTAAACCGCTGTACTGCAGCTAAAACTGTGCTGACGACCTGGGGTTCAAATCCCAGGTAGCCGGCTGAAGGTTGACTCAGCCTTCTATCCTTCCGAGGTCGGTAAAATGAGTACCCAGCTCACTGGGGGGGCAATGTGTAGCCTGCATAATTAAATTGTAAACCTCCCAGAGAGAGCTTGAAGTGCTATGGGGCGGTATATAAGCAGCACGCTTTGCTTTTGCTTTTTGCTTTTAAAAGTTAGCAAGGAGGCCAGGTCATCCCCCACACACACACACACACACCTTGTGCTTGGTGTTAGAAAGCACAGTTTAAGGCTCCCTGTATCTGTCTGGCTGGTGATCTTGTCAAAATCTGGGGAGTTCTGAGATTCAAGAAGAAAGAAAGAGAGATACAGTAAGTATGTTTAGGGGTTGGAAAGAGGCGAGGGGTGGTATTAAAAAGGGGCACCTACCCCGTCCATCTTTTCCCCACTGCTTCGATAGGTGCCTTCTTCACCAAATGTCAATGTGTTGGAATTTTTCCATTGCCAGTTTCCCTTTTCTCCTGCTCATGGTAAATATAAGTAACCCTTGAACCCCGTGGATTCCTGAATGTCATGTTTGTTTCCCCTGGCTGGGAAGGAAGAACAAACATAGGTACGTACATCTGTCCATGGGTATTAAAAACTTTCTATAGCGAGATAGATCAGGAGTTAATTGGTCGGTTTTGAGTGGTGCTTCTTAAAGTCTAGCTGTGCTGAACTCCTGTTTCAAAGAAGGTTTGGCCAAGATTAGGATCCCAAGTGCTCTTTCTCTTTCTTCCAGGGGAGTGGCTTAATCTGGAGGACTGTGCAAATCGCTTCACCTTGCTTTGCGAAAAAAGACCTCTCCTGCTGTTTGGGGGGCCAGCACAAGAGTCGGAGTCGACGTGGGTGGGGTTTGCGCTGCCTGCCTTGATCCCTGACGCAGTGGGGTGACACATCATGTGTCAGATAGACCCCAGGTGGTTGAAGGATGCCCCTGGAAGGATCTACTAGACACGGAAAGCCTCAAACTTTTGCCAAAGGTGAAAGAGAAGCCGTCGAGAACTGTGTTGACGATTCCTTTCAAGAGACTTGGTTCCAGTTGCCCAACGGCTGAGAAGACCCTCGGGAGAAGGCCCGTCTGGGCGGAGAGAGCAGCGAGAAGGCCGGGCCGGGGGCTCATTTCTGCACGGGGCCGTTTGGAAACGAGAGCCACTGTTTGTGGCCAGCAATGGAGCACCCTTACAGAGACTAGTTGGCTGTTTTTCATTTCTGACGGGGTCAGTCTTTTAAAGATGGCATAGATCTCGAGAAAACCGAAGAGGAGAACCGCCGGTGTTGACTCAGAAAGACTGGGAGCAACGGAGCAAGTTCAAAATGTGAAGGCTGTGAATTGTCAACGTAAGAAAAAAAGGCTTTGTACGATCGCTTCCTCCCCCCCTTGTGCGCACACACTCTTTCAAAAGAGACACTATAGTATTGAAACAAGGTGCTGGATTTGCGTAGGACCTTCTTGGCTGAACAGAAAAGTTCTCATATGCTTTTTGGGTTGTTGTTGTTGGTTTTTTTTTTAATTTTTAAATTAAACTGTTTGTACAATCTTCTGGAAAAACATATGAACTTACCTCCATTGAACTTTCTGTTCCTCCCCTCCAAAAAATAAAACAAATCTAAATTTTAAAAAGTTGGGAGTAAAAGGGAGCCTCGGATACGTCAGGAACTAGATTAATAACTCTTCGGTGCACGCTTTGGCTTGGGAAGGTTTTTTTAAAATTCCAAAATGGATCTGGAACCCCAGCAACTGGGCATGTTTGTGGAAAGCGAGTTGATGTCAGTGGGCATGGACACCTTTATCCACCGCATCGACTCCACGGAAGTGATCTACCAGCCTCGGCGGAAAAGAGCCAAGCTCATTGGGAAGTACCTGATGGGGGATTTGCTCGGGGAAGGCTCTTACGGCAAAGTCAAGGAGATGCTGGACTCTGAAACCCTCTGCAGGAGAGCCGTCAAGATCCTGAAGAAGAAGAAGCTGCGGCGGATCCCCAATGGAGAAGCGAATGTCAAAAAGTGAGTTTTTCGGGGGGGGGGGTCGCTGGAGCCCAGGCCATCCAGAAACGGGGCCACAGTTTCTCACACACGCATGGCAGGGTGGGCTAGTGGACCTCGTTCTTCCTCATACTGGACGGTGCTGGGCTGCGGGAGGCCAGGGAACACTGCAAGAGGTTAAGTGCGGAGGTGAAATTGCCTGGGGCCCGTGGAGAAGAGTTTCTAGAGGTGGGGGTGGGGTGATGGGCTATCAGGTCACCTTAGACCCCAGGAAGGCATGACCTCTGAAATGTCCTGGCTTCCCCAGCCCAGACTCAGGGCGGTGGCTTCCTTGAGGGAGTCCGTCCATCTTGCCGTGGGGGGGGGGTTCCTCTTCTTCTTGCTGCGTCTCACTTTTCTAAAATGCACCCCTCCGAAAGCGAGCCCAAGCTGGTGGCACCTGCAGCAAGGACTGCTGGGAGGCTGTGTCCTTAGCCCCCTGTAGCCCGTGGTGAGGCATACTGGGGCTTGCTCTTCAGAACCTGCTGGAGGGCTGCTCTTGGGGGGGGGCACCAAGTTTAGAGGTAATAATTGGGGCAAGAACTCTGTATAGGTCTCTCCAGGATTCAAGTCCTTCTTCAGGCACCAACAGGATGGTCTTTAGGCCTCAGTGCTTCTCTCTCTCTCGGCCTCTCTCGGCCTTCCTGCTCTGTAAAATGGATGGTGACCGCACGTTGGCTCACCAGACCACACTTTGCGTAACCAAAGGGTTACAGAAAGAGGCGGAAAACGGTTGGGCTTCCAGTTTCCTTGGAAACGCCAAAGGGGCCTGGTTGTTCACATGCCAAACACTTGCAAACACGAATACTCTTCTAGTGCGGTGTCTGGCTGGTGCCTTATAAAGCAAGCCCATAAATCAAGGGCAGGTTTCCCCCACGGTGACCTTTTGGAGGGGGATGGGATCCTGTGATTGTGCCACAGACTGTGAGCCTCCCACCTCCTCACTGTGTTTACTTTCTGGTGCTTGTTCTGTTGGGAACAGAAGGGAGTAGAAAGGGTTTTAGGGAGAGCCACAGGGAAGAGCAGGGATGAGAGAGAGCTGAAGGCAGGGGCTTTATCGGCAGGACGAGTCAACCCGTTGCTGGTTTAGAGGAGGGGAAAAAAGCAGCAGCCCCAGTGGCTTTGAATGAGTGTCCTGGTGGCATGGCTAGGCCGGAGACGGTGAGGCATGCCTTGATGGTGTCCTGTCCCTTGGCGAGTGGTCAGTCCAGTAGGTCCTCTTGGACAGAGGTGGGAAAACCCTTGAAGCTTCCAGATGTTTTGTGTTGCCCCTTGTTCTTACTCTCGGCCCTGGTTGGGGGGGGGACTCAAGAGGCCAAAACTTCTGGCAGCCCAGAGGCCTTCCTGTTTGAGATGCTTGTGGTAGCATTCTGCGCCTCAGAAAGCTGTCCCTGGGGTTTTTGAACGATGGGGCCCCAAATCTGTCTGTCCCAAGAGCCTCGCGTGTGATGAGGCCAGGAAGTGGGAAGCTTTGTCCCCGGTGGGTGAAGAGGCATATGGTGTAAACATAGGAAGTGTGACCGTTCGCCCTTGCCTGACCCACAGACCAAGACCTTCTGCTGTCTTGTTTCTCTCCTGCAAGGACCTGGTGCTAGTGATGGACCTCAAGATTTTTTAAAAAAAAAACAGACCCGCTTGTCCAGGATTGGGCTCATGTGTGGCTACCTGGTGGCCCCAAGCCACGTCCCCGGAGGTCCTTCCCTGTTTGGAGGGGTGCAGCCAGGAGAAGGTCCTGCCCTGTCCTTGGCAGCCGGTAGAGGCAGAGAGGTGGTGGACGGATGTGAGGTGGCGGGGTCTCTGCTTTGTGTTTGAGGGAAGGTGGAGGGCGGCAGAGGCGGAAGAGGCAGAGAAACAGGCAAGCGGGTGGTAAGAACGAAAGGCGGGGGGAGAGGTCTCTGAGCAGGTGATTTGTCCAGGAATGGTTGTGGACCCACTTTTTGCAAACTCCGGGTCCGACACCCTCCACAGTCTGCTTCAGGCTATCCAAGGGATCTGTCGGGAGTTTCGGATCTGCCTCCTACCCATCCCTACCGCTTGGCCCCTGCTTGTATGAAGTTTTCCTGCGTCCAGGAGAAAGAAGGCCTGCGCCGCTTCCGGCTGTCCGACTTTCCTCCTCCGCCTTGAAAGATTGTGGGCCCCGTTGTCCTGGTGGTGAAATCAGGGCGAGGAGTCTTCTTGGGTTAGCTTGCCTGGCATTCCTCACGAAGGGGTGACGGGAGTCGGATGTTCAGAGATTCCTGAAACCAAGACAGAAGCTCGGCTTCCAGGTTGGAGAAAGGAGTTGGCAGCAGCCCCGGGAGAAATGGGGGAGTGGCAGAGCAGGGGGGGAGGGAGGCTTTCTGGCTTAAGTGGGCGTGATTCTCTTTGGTGTCCTGCCCCCCCAGTTGCTGGGGGCTTTGAATTTCCTCAGGGCCCTTTCCCAGTGGAACTAAAACAGCACCCCCTTTCTTGAGGCAGGTGTTTGGTTCAGTTTCCCCCTCAAGTCAAGCAGCTTCCAGTCACTTTGGTGGCTCACGTCTGGTTTAGGAAAGCTGCCGGCCCTATTTGCAAGCCACCACTCCACGTCTTACTTTTCAATATCTGAGCAAGGGGCTCTTTGCGCATGCGATACGAGTTACCCGTTTTGCCTCTGCCAAATGAAGACAAGGGTGGCCAGTTTTCAATCCGTTAAAAGCAAAGTTGCTCGTGGACCAGCAGGCCTTTTCTTTGAGCAGGGCCTGGGAGGCTGGGGGTGAGACCCCCACCCCACCCCACCGGGGCAGTTGTTCTGCGGCAGGTCTGCGCTCTGCAGTGTGTGAAGTGTGTGGTGTTCAGCTGCCCATACAGGGCGGCGTGGCTGAACCCAGGCTCGGGCCGCGGTTCACGGCCTTGTGCTTTTCCCCAGCTTTTAAAGATGCCCAAGAGGAAAGTCAGGGGGTGGGCTGTGCTTTGCTGCTTCTTCATGTTGATGGCCGGCGTAGGGAAGAAATTTGGGGTGTGGGTTTGGGGGGAGGAAACAGCTTCAGAACTCAACCTGTTCCAGCGTGTTGATCTCCCAGTGGCTCCCTGGCTGCCCCAGAGAAACCTACAAGGGGCATATGAGAATAGCTCAGGGGTTGAGGTCTTTCTGGCTGCAGAGCCAGGGGTTGGGAGTTTGAATCCCCCTCCAGGCCCTCCTTGACAGGGGTTGGACTGGATGATCTTTAGGGGTACCTTCGAGCTCTGCCATTCCACTATGACGCTGATGCTGTGACATGGAAACACACTGCCTGATATTGCCTTGACTAGTAGCCCCTGATAATTTTGTCTTCCATGGAACTATGGTTTAGTCTCAGTTTCTGATGCTGTTAAGTTGAGCCATTCTCCAAAAGAGGATCATAAACCACTTCTGAGTACCATCTAGGGTAGCCATGATGATGATGATTTCCTCAGCGCGGCAGCTGAACATGAACCTTGCTTGCGCAAATAGACCTCTGACAGTGTTCAGCCACTTAATCCCCACAGCCGCCCTATGCCGAAAGCCAGAGGGAGGGAGGGGGAGGGAGGGAGGGAGCAGGACTGGCCTGTGGTTGAGTCAGAGTTTGAACCCAGGTCTCCTGGATCTGACTGTAGCCACTCTACCATGCTCTTCTTTTTCTTTTCTCCTTCCCAAACCCTCCACTCTTGAGAAGGTGTAGGTGACCTCGTGGGGTTCTTGATTTTGTTGTGAGAGAGGGAGGGAGGGAAACATCCCCTGACCCCCACTTCCCTCCCCACCAGTCCCTTCGCTTTGAAATTTAGTTTAAAAAACCAGACAAATTGGAAAAAGAACAGTCTTTATTTGTATGCCTCTTCCACCAGTTGGCGGTGAAAAAAATGATTTTTATTTATTTAAAATATTTTTGTCCCGCCTTAAGAATCACAAGGTGGCTTGCCTCATTAAAAGACAATGTTTAAAGCTAGAAGTAGGAGGTCTACAAATACTGAAAAGGACCAAATGAATACTGCACTAAAATAATAATAAGTAATAATAATATAAAAATAAACAATAGCAACACCAGAAACACATTCCAAGCAGCAAAGGCACAGCCACCCATTTAAGAATCCCACTTGGGCAGTCGATTATTAACTAAGAAGAGGATTTTTTTTAAAAAAATTGCGTGTGGATTCAGTTCTGTTCCTGAAATGGCCCTCCTGCTCCTTTCTGACACCTCTCTCCAAGCGGTGGCTCTTGGGAAGTCCATGTTAAAAAACAAATCCCCCCCCCAAAAAAAACCCTCTTAAATCCTGCAAGTCTTCCATTATCTGAAGATGCCGGCCACAGAGACTGGCGGAATATTGGGAAGAACAACCTTCAGAACACGGCCAAAGAGCCCGAAAAACCCACAACAACCATTAGATCCTGGCTGTGAAAGTCTTCATGAATACTTCCATTATCTTTTTATTCTAGTTTTTAAAGAGGTTATTCTATTTTAAGAATTTCTCGAGCCGCTCAAAACAGCAGGTAAAGCGGGGAGGCAGAGACAGCCAAAAGCCTACAGAGGTGAGTAGCTCTGGAACCCTTCGGATGGCCCAGCTTCCCTGCCTCTCGGAATAAAATGGAAACCTCAAATCTGCCGGTGATTCTTCTTGAAGCGGAAGGAGAGGCAGTGGGATGACGTTGCATTTGGTGGATTTTGCCCGGCCGAAAAGTGGACAGCCAGGTGGCCTGTGTCCTTGGGCAGGAAACGTCCTGGGCCCAATGCTTCAGTCTCCCTGTAAATAAACGGAATATTGTAGAGAGAATTTAAATGGTTGTTGCAAAGGCATGGCTCGGATCAAGCGGTTGGGGTGGGCCCGGGACTCCACAGGTTCCAGGTGGCTGATCCGTGGTTTCCAGGCACCTTTCAAAGCGCCGCCCTGACCTATAAAGCCCTCAACGGCTTGGGTCCGAGCTCTCTCAAAGACGGGGCCGCCCTCTGCCTGCCTGCCTGGGCATGAAGATCATCACGGGAGGCTTTTGTCTTGGTCCCGCCACCTTCACA